TTTCGGCGAACCAAAGACAATCACACCCGTTGCGCGGGTACCCGAACAGATTCTTCATCAACTTGCGTCTAAATCTTGTTGGGTGTTCTGGAAAGCGCTCGTCTATATCTTGTAACTACCTGGCCGGGGGCAATTTTTTGTCTTTGGTATACTGAGGAACCCGACGGGCGATGCTTTTGCGTCTAGCATTGTTCGCCGCATTATCGTCAGTAATTTTAGTCTGGTGGCGTCAACAGATCTTGAGTGGCCGTAGGCGCTGCTGCTTTTTATGTAGACGGACGGTGAGTGTACAGTCATGGCATCTCTCCGAAACGACTGGATGCCTCCGCGTGCGCTGATGGCCCGCCGAGGGTTTCCGTCACCTCCAGCATACGACATAATGATGCTGTGTGGACGGTGTTTTCTATACAGCGAAAGCTGTATAGAGAAATGAAAAACCCGCGCATATCCTTGAAGATGGTGCTGATGAAGCTAGATGCTCAGGTTCATAATTTACGTCTAAGTCACCGACTTGTGATAGGATGGAAGGACGCATGCAGGCACGGATGGACAGACGCACAGATGCATGGTCGAACGAGTGGATGGATGGCCAATTTTTTATTCATATGTGCGCTCTGAAGACTGTTTTGCGCACAGATGTCTTGCACCAGCGCTACTATTATGCACGGCGCACGGATGCATTGAAGCCGGAAGGACATCGTGAGATCTCAACGAGCTTCGCCCTTAAAACCGTTCGTCACGACCAATGATAACGGTATCCATTGGCTGCACCGTCAGTTACATCGTTCTCTACGTTGAACCCTATAGTGCATGCACCATTAGGAACACCGTCAGTGAAATCCTTCAACCCTTTGCAGCTGTGCCCCCGAGCCGGTGCGCAGCAGTCTCAACTTACAACTTTCCCTTGAGGTGGTAACGTATTGTAAGAACGCGTGAACACCAGACAACTTTCCATGAACAGCACCGACAGCTGATCCGTGAAAGAATTCATGTTCGCCGGGCCGATTCAGCAGTCCGGGCACAAGAGCAGGCCCGGCTGGCAAAGTCCAAGCAGCAACTACGCAGCGAGGGTCCGGCAGCCTTCAGAGCCGAATGATAGCGACAACGGCGAGCCGAGGAAGCGGCTTCGCAGGAAGAGCAGTCCAACGGGGCAATGGCGGGAAGGTTCGCCAGGGCCGACGCCGCTGAGCAGCGCTTTGGCTTTGGCTGCCACCATATGGCGGCACGTTTCAGCTTCGCTGGTTAGCCAGGTGTACGCAGTGCTTGGGCGCTTATAAATGAGCTCCTTTGCCTCTTCTGTACGAACACAAATTACATTACAGACCAAGAGGTTTTATACTACATTGTGTTTCTACCAGCCTAGCGTAGTCCTGCTCCATGTCTACGCATCAGAAAGGGATAAGTACAGGGAACTTTCACTTGAGTAAACCTCAAGGGAACCAAAGAAACATTCACTCAAATTCGGAAGAGCATTGGACACAGGGGAAATCAAGTCAAACGTGCAGAATACAATATATTTTAACAATACTTCTGCGACTTTCATTTGGATGGGCTTCTTATATTCCAAGAGAGACAAAACTGTCAAGAGAGTGAACGCTTCGATCCTTTGGCACAGCTTGTTGCTGTGACACGAAGTCTTGCAGCTTTTTAATAGGCCCTACAGCCTCGGTTAAACACAAAATTTCAACACATATCACCAACAACAACTTCGACGCACCCATAGAGTTTCATACAATATTACCTAGAGGGGAATATGGCGTTAGTGTCTGCGTGGGCTCCTTCAGCGGTGCTTGTACCCCCATGGGAATTATGGGAAGTACAAGCTTCGGATCTGCTTCGAATGGATTACGTTATTGACATTCGCAACGCTTATTTGACGACTGTAAAATAACGCGATGTGAAGGTATATTTAATTCTAAATTGCTTCAATATTCGGTACGGAATTCTTTTTGCAAAACGTTTCCGTGATCTTGAGGTAGTAATGAAACCTGGACATATGTAACCTCTAGGGTATGCATTGCTCTGCTATTGCTTTTCAGATTTACCATCAAGAAGGAATCGATTATTTTTTACAACACTTGAAGACAAACATGCTTGTTTTGCCCTCGAAAGTACGCCTCATATATTTATGAAAATAACAATTCAGTATTGAGTGAGAAACACTCAACGTTTTGTCTGCTGCAATGCCTCGTGCGTCTGTGCAAGTGATCTGCCACAAACGCACCTCGCGTTTTGTTGTGCAGTCGAGTCAGAGGAGCGTGACGGTGCATCTACTTAAATTCGCTGTCATTATGCAGTCGATATAAGCGTTGTTTGGGAAGACGCGCTTAGGAAAAAGGTGAACTTGGTGTAATATTCTATATTGACATGAGACGCTACATCTACCCACAGCGGTGAGTGGACGACGCTTCGCTTAAACTGCAAAATACGACTCGTAAAGCTCTGAAGCCGCAGCGAATTTCAGGACTAGTGTCTTCAGCCTCTTTGAACAACAAAGGCGCTGCTTCAGTATTCTGCACCACACCCCACTACTCACGCTGCGGAAGAATGAAACTGAAATTGTTGAGAAGGATTCGCAAAACGTTCGCTTGCTAACGCAGTTCAATCCGAAGCCCTTACTTCCTATAATTACCATGGGGGTACAGGATCGTAGCGCCAGATTGCACTCTAGGTATTATTGTATAAAACTCTATGAACGCACCATTTCAGGTCTCTTGTTTGCGGGTAAATCACTCAACCGGCGTCCGCACTCACACTACACATGTGCGGCTCTCCTCTTTTCCTATCTCCAAGAGCTGCGCGTTAGTCTGTCCACTGCTCTCCTACCACCTGCTTGCGCTCGCTCACCCATTGCACACGGGCGTCGCTCACCTCTTTCGTCTCTCCTACGCTCCCTTTCTCCTGCCTCGTAACTAACACCCATAGTTTCCTAAGGCCTTTCCGGTGGTTGCATGACGTCATCCTGTGGGCCCGTGCGGGCGCTGCGTTTCGGTATTCTGGAGTGTCGCGCTCGCTTCTACTGGTGTTGTAATAATAGTCTGTGATGGTTGTGAAATACTATGTCATGTATTCAGGAAGCTTTGTAGGGCACAAGTGAAGCATTCTGAAGGTAGTTTCACTCTTGTAAGAAGAAAACACACGACACAGGATCAGCTTTATGCCGTTAAAAGATCACTTTTTCTTCAGTGTTGCTGATTTCCGCGCTGAGGCCTTCTTCCGCGCATTGTCTTGGATGCGGTCATTTTTCAGCCTGCAGACATTGTTCAAGGCGAAATTGGTTGCTATGCAAACTACCAGGTGCAAGATAGTTTGTGCGGTGCGGCCGTTTTCGCAGGCATCAATGTCGGTATATGGTTCCAGCAAAGAAAATGCCAGTGAAGTGACGATACCGCATTGGTCACTGCATGAGACACAGTCTTTGGTATACTCTCCCAATTACAGTTTCTGCACAACTAGCTTCGTTACCAGAACCCTGTCACAGCGCTACCCCAAGCACAGCACTTGGCACAGCGCTACCACAAGGGAACTATCGGAGTTGCACTCCGGTCAAAAGCAACAGAAGAGATCTGAAAGAACAGTCAATGAGCATTTACGTAAAGAGAAGGATTGTTTTCGATGACAAGAAACCCTACGCACTCGTTACTGATAGGTACTGTCGAAAAATTATAATTGCAGATCCCTGACAGCTTCGTCTTGAAGCCCAAATATGAAGGCACCTTGTTTTTTTTTTTTGCTGAAGTTCTCTAGACTCAAGTGACCTGTTTATAGCTTCTTTCAAAGCAGCGCTCTCCCTTCTTGAGGTCTTCCGCACTTGCGATTCACGACGTGTTGGCTTTGAGGAAAGTATTTTAGACAGTTTGAAAAGATAAAAGGTACAAAATTGTGCTTCAGCTTTCGTTTCTCCCGTTCTACTTCCAATATCCTTCCTATTCATTCATCTTAATGTGACAGCGTCGTTATGAAATCCTCTGCTTGCAAGTGCAGTTCACAAATCTGCGAGCGCAAAAAAAAGGCGGCTGTTAAAAACTCGCTACACATGAAACACACTACGCGTAGATATAACCTGCGAATATCTATTCCTTCATATTTACTTTACTGTGGTATAAGCACGAAGTCGTTCTTAAAAAAAAGGCACGGTGATATGCGTAGCATTGCAATCAAACAGATTCTTTTTTACGTGACACTTTGAATTTGGCTATCGTGGAGCCAGTGTAGCCAGACGCTTTTCCAGTTCTTCTGTTGGCCCCTCTGCGGGACGCAGCACGCGGTGAAATGAGGATGTAAAGAAACCTGAAGAATGTTTAGAGGGTGTTGCTCGCGACGCCGACGCAGGGAGAGTCTCCTAACCTTCACTCACTCCCCCTTCTCCTCTAGGCATTCCTCCCCACAGCGTGTTGCAAAGTCGACGCAGGCAGCATCAGCTAGCGAGTTTCATGATTGCGAAAAACCAACCACTCTCGCTTACCCCCGGTTCACTGGCCATCTGATACATATAGGCACTGGATCTTGACCTCGAAGGTAGCGCCGATGTAGGAATAATGTGCGTTGTCGAACAACGAAAATTTGCAACGTGCGCGTTAACTAAAATTCCACCATCTCCCTAAAAGGGACCACGGGGTGATGCGGAGCATCACGGGAGCTTCCAACGCAACGTTCATGCGATTCGTAGTGATGAACCTATACTATGTTTCACCACTGTGGTTCAGAGCGTCGATTCGCATTATATGTCGTTTCCCATGGGCAACCGAGCGATAAAGCACCTGTGTGTTTTGGAATAATTCTCGCTTATTAGCAAAAGAAACACTTACTTGACCATTGCCTGCACGTGATTACCTATAATATGACGTCACCTGGCACGCCTGCCTTTATATACAGCCACTTTTTTGCCGGAAGAAAATGGAACGGTGACAACAAATATGAAGCACCGAAGTGCTTTTCGTTGTTTACCGTTATGTGTTTTGTTAGAAACGCAAACTTAGTCGGTGTCTTGCTGTTCACAGGTGAAGGTGTGGTTCCAGAACCGGCGCACCAAGCACAAGCGCCAAAAGCAGGAGGAGGAACACTCGACGTCCCACGGGGGCTCGGACTGCAAGGCGTCCTCATCGCCTAGACCACCGGCAGCGCTCTCACCCGACATTCAGATGGACGACTCGAGCTCTGATTCGACGCAGCCGGACCCACTGTCGTGACGCCAGCAGCTATCGCCCGTGACGGCCGCGCACACACCGCGCGGACTGTGCGCCCCTTGCGGACCATACGCCGCTGGGCCGGCCGCCGCTTTGTGGACGCTGCAGGAAGGGGCGCCGCCGCGAATGTGAACTCTGTCTTCGTGACGATGTGTGCGCGTGTGTGTGTTCCGCTGTCGACGACGCAGTTTCATGCTTCACAACTACATGCTCGGGAACCACGTCGATGACCTCATCACAACTCGGCGGACAGCCTGTGCTTTCAAGGGGACGGAATTTTTGTTTCTGTACGGTACATATGACGAGTGAAAATTGTTTAACCTGTAGACATTTGGTGGCTCGCCCACTTTAGAAACTTGTTTTTGAAACTTGTGACTACTGGTGGTGACTGTGACCGCTGACTTGCACTGGAAAGAAGCGGCATTGGGACCTGCGAAAGGCTGAATTTAGGCGTTAATCGAAATAACTGTAAAGCCAAAGATGCTTGGCATACTCCGTACGGGTCCTGTGCTTCGTTATGGCATTATAATTGAAGCGGGCGTCGCTTGCGTGGTTCCTGAGCGTTATTGATTCTGGCCCCTACCGCATGGTGGGCACAGTGTCTTCGTGAGGTCGCGTTTAGACGTCGACACGGTCGGGCTGCGTGTGACGACATCGGCTTTTCTGCACTATGTTCAAGTGGATTGCCATTCACCTGGTACTTCTTGCTTTAATGCGCTTATTGGCCTCAACCAAATCAAACTGGCGTTTTCTGACAATTTTAAATGAGATTGTAGGTGCTGGTATGGTTTTTGTACGTGTTCTGACATTATTATAGCTTCAGAAGCAGCAACGACGTAGAGTTTTTGCAACAGTCTCACTCACATCTGGTTGCAGTCTTCCATCGCACGGACCGGATCCTACTCTCTCGAAGCCCGCTTCACTTGAATCTCTACGGGTGGTCGCCTGCTTTCTGGGTTACCTGCAAGGGTAAAATATCATTTTTAGACTGTTGCAATTGTGATTTCGCTCATTTAACTTTTTTATGATTCATTTCGTACATTGATGCTTAAACATTAGGAGAACTTATTAAAGGTGAAGCATCGAACATCAGGTATGATTGTCAGTGTAATACAGCGCACGAAAGCAGAAATTCGTGCTCTGTAATTATATATGCACAATAATTCACGTTTTTTTGTCAACTTTCGCCATGAAAGGTAGCATGCTATTGCTTTGTGCTCCGCATACTGCTTATCGCACTTGACAACATCCGCACAGAGTGGGACCCTTCATGATGATCAAGGAGGGTCTAAGCAAGTCGTGTTACGGACATTGCCGCCCCCTTCAGCGGCATTCATAATGTCGAACGCACCATCGACAGGGACGAAAAATCGCTCTCCTATATATAGTGTGTCTGTGCCAAGAAGTATCGCGACGAACTCACCTCGAACGGGGATTATTCATCGACAGGGCGTAAACGACATGGCGTGACTGCAGGCGATGAAGGCTTGCTGAGACTGAGCGTGGCTACTTCGACTCTCGAAGTGGCCGAAGTGTGCGTGTTCTCACAAGGTGTGTTTGCGTGGTACATTCGTTGCAAAGCCGCATGTACAGTGTTTCTTTGCTCTCTGGATGACGTTATTATTATTCTTCGCTTCTTCCCCGGTTTTCCTTTTTTTTTCTTGAACACCGTGACCCTTTGTTGACGCCCATGACTGCGTTTTGTCTGTATGTGTCGAGACACTCATCAGCAGGAAGGTCGAGTGTTGCCTCTGAAACCAAAGAAGCCTTTCCTTTTCCTCATTTTCAGAGACGCAACTGGATGGGACTAGATGGGACACTTGAGGGAAAAAAATTATTTCACCACTCTATTGTTATTGATTTTATCATAATAGGTCAATACAAGAGGAACTGACGGTTAAAGTTGCGGGCTTGAGTTTCAGGCCTGAACTTCTTCACAGACACGCTAGTTTGACGTCACAAGTTTGCAGGTCTCCCTTTTTTTTTGCATTTTGCCTGCACTCGTTTTATGAAGTTTTCAAAAACTTCCTATGTTACGACCCGTATTCCTTTGATCATCATTAGCAACAAATCATTACGTGTATGCCTTTGTAGACGGCATTAAAATTGGCAAGAGCTGGTGCGCGAATGTTCCATCGCCACCTGTATTTTACTCCTGCGCGTTGTCTCGCTTACCCAGCGTTTTCTTTCGCATCGTGGTATTGCTGTTTACTAATACGGGAAGGAATGTTGGTTACCTCATTGTCCTTTGAAAGTTCAGCATCAGACAGAAATGCGCCCTCTTATGACCTCGTTCGGGTCGAGCAATTTGACCGATTTTCTGCAGCGTGAAAATACTTCAGTGCCCGATGGAAATTCGTCGAGCGAATACGAAAACTATAAAAGCAGGGAGCTGTATGAGCTCAGTGTGCTAACTGTAATTTCGGCAATAAGGCTCCGTCTTTTGATTCATTACGAGTGTTTTGGTCAACAGCGTTCATTGTTTGCACTGTAGCTTCACGCGGGCTGTGAAAGGTGGTGGAGGGCCTAACCTTGCAGCTCTGTAGACTGCGCTGAATGCCAGCCTGGGCGTAAGCAGCGGCTTGCTCCGTTACATATCGCGAGTGTTGGGTGGTATGGCGACCATCTAAATGACCTTCCTCGAAGCTCCCCAGAGCTACTTTCAAAACGCACATTCATGTTGTTTTGTGGTATTCAGCTGCGGCAGAAATGAATAAATACCGCAGGTATTGGCGAAACTCAGTGGGTCGTTGTGGCTGCAGTTTTGATTGACGCAGTGCGCCGTTACTTCACACAGCGTTTCGTGTACAAGGCAATCTTCGTGTACTCTCGCCAAAACATTGCCCAGATTCGTTCGTTTTATGTGTTTCACACATGTAACGAGAAAGAAAATGTTTTGCCGAGTGAAACGGTTTGTAAGATTTTGCGTATTTGTACATATAGAAGACATTGTTTTAAATATGTGCGCGCTTTGCTTTATCCAGCCTTTATTGTTTCGAGTGTAAATACGTCGATGTAATTTATAACATGTGAAAAAGGGATTCTCATTAAAGAAGAAGTATGCATCAATTGAAACCATCTTGTTTGTCTTGATATCTTGAAATATTTCGTTCTTCACTGCCCACTGAACGTGCATGAAACGTGTGTGCAGTGCTGGTTACTCTGAGTGCATAAAGCATTTTTTCCCTCAGTGAATATACTTTCTACAGATATAGACACGCGGATCACTTTTGAAGCTGGTGTATACCTCGAACTTGTAGTTTTTTTAATGGCGAGCAGTTTGTTAAGTTATTCACAGCTTCTGTTGTTGGCAAAAAGGAGGCATCGGCATCATAAAGTTATCATAATGTCTTGGATTTAACGTCCCAAACCCCGATGTGATTATAAAAGACGCCCTAAAGGAGAGCTCCGGACATTTCCACCACCTGGGGTTCTTTAACGTGCACCTATATATAACAGCATCACTCTAAGCCGAAATTCGATAAATTTGACTAACTGCAGTCGTTAAACCAACGGACGAACGCTTCGTCCAACAGGGACTAAATGCGTGACAGTGCGTGTCGCGCGCGAACGCCCGGCATCGGAGGGACCAACGGGGAGGGCAACTGCGCCGCGATCGCCTCCTGTCGATGCTGCACTGCAATGCTCGGCGAGGCCGGCGATCATGAAAACAAGTTATATAGGCTATACGCCACTGTGAAAGCGAAGCACTATGAAACGAATAGAAGATGTTATGAGAGGCAAGTAGTACAACACGCAGTCAGTGCACACAGCAAGCGCCCTCGCGTTTCCACCATGCCGGAACGGGTGGGCCGAAACCAAGTAAAAATTTCCGAACACGGGCAATGCGGATAACTCGCTTCCATGTGCCGAATTAGTTCAAACTACGATGAACACTGACAACGCTAATAAAAGTAAGCTGTTCATCAGCGGTCGTGCACCCACACAGTGACCACAACTTCAAAGCGATATATAGAAAAAGTAGGCTTCGTACGTCATCGGAATCAAGCTCGCTGCCGGTGCGAGTGCACTGCCGGCACACGCGAAGGAAACGTCCCATACAATTTCTTTCACAGAAAATATAGTTGCCTGCACTAAAGCTCACACAAACTTATGTCTTTTTCTCCATGCGACAATCGTTATCAAACATCCAGCGTGTAGGCGATCGCGGATACGACTAATCGTGCGGCCGGTGGTACACGGGGAGCGACTTACCAGCACGACGAAAGAACCGTGCCTCGAACGGTCTCGTCGCTGTAAATATACAGATATCTACATCACTCGGTGAGACACCGCGAACATGGGACACTTACCTTTTGTTCATTTGTGAGTATAAAATAACGACGACGAAATCCCACGTGAGCCGCATGTTGCGATCGTTGGTGGTCGTTTAGCCGTACCCTTCGTAAGCCTACCGAAGCCGTCGGCAAGCCGACACGGTATGGCATCGGCGGGGCGCCTGGCTGCTTCGCCGGTTTACCCACATAAGCGCCGCTGCTATGTTTGTGTTTGCAGACTCGTGCGCCAGCACTGCGAACGCTGGTTCGGCCGACATGGTCGAATGCCAGCTGATAATTCGTATTTTCGGGCTAGAGGCATGTTGAAGATTAGATAGATCCATATTAAATGATCGGTGCGCATCAGTGCTACGAATTAGCCCATGTAACTTTTCGCGTTACGGTGTCAATGTTTATTGTTTTTTAGGCCGAGTAAAAGCCGCCCACTGGCACTAGAAGGGAGGTCAAAATACTGCGCTCTATATACCCGATAGTCTGTTCTCTGTTGTATAGCGCGGGCAGTGAGTGTTTGCGGTGTTTTATTTTGAAATAATAGTGCGTATGTACACTCTAAGCCAAAAACGGCCAAAATGGGAGCAACGGCTGTTTTTACTCCTTCAGACCGACTGTTACTCTCCGAAAAGACCAAGCGCAACAAGATGGCCGACTTTTTCGAGAATGGGGGAGCAACTGCATTCATCTTAAGTTTGTAAGGGAGCAACGAAAGGAGGAACCGCTGTAAATGCTCTCGTCAAGCAACGGTTACTCCCCGGCAGGACACCGCACACAAATATGCATGCCGCCCACATTGATATTCATGGGCCAGATTATTGTTTGTTCTGTGTGCCAAACTTCACCAAACCAAAACAGTGATTTATTTTAGCATCCGCAGATAATAAGATAGCAGCGCTGGCTGAACTCATAAGGCCTGAGAATACAACTACGGCAAGTACCTAACACACGCAGCAGCAGAATGGAGAGTTGGCACGTCAAAACGGACCGAACGCCGAAACACGTGCAAAACAACGATAAAAAAAATCCTAGACACGCCGTTCGTCCGCGAAGGAAGGACGTCAAAGTCGATCAAGCACCGAAACACGTGCATAGGGAGCCTCCCCCCCCCCCCCAGATATATCGGAGAGAAAAAAAAAGCGGACCCAGACGCGCTTTTCATCAGCCGTACACTTAGTAGCACGCTTCACCGTGTAGTTTGAGGGCAGAATGACAAATCTGTGCCATCTGCGCCCGCACGACAAGTGTGGCGCTAGCGTAGCAAGCGATGCAATTTACAAAGTAATTTTTATTCAGTATTTATGTATACTAGCACTAATAAAAATTTACACTCAATTTTTTATATTTAATTATGAGTTTTAGTGTACCTCAGTTTTTTTTTATAAGTGTATTAGGAGAACACACTGAAAGCATTGCGCTGACGCCTGTGCTGCCACTGCTCGACGTTTTTTTTTTTCGGCGCAACAAGGTTCGCGTTCGCACTACTCATATTCATATTGCCACGTTCCAATTCCCAAGTTTTTGTTATCGTCCCAAAACACCACACGATTCTCAGCGCAAACCGCGCCTGCAGTTTTCGAGAAGGTTCCGGACTGTAGTAGACCATTTCGATAAGATCACGCCCACTGTGCGAACGGTACAGATTGTTCTGGAACCTACGCCACTGCCAGCGATAACGCTAGAACATTCGACGGCAAGAGTATAAATGCCGACGCGCTTCGCCGCTTGTGAGTAGTTGATCGAAGGCCGACGCTCCGTTCGCCGCTACCAGTCCGAGACTGCTATCTGTGCGAGACTGCTGCTGTAATTGGACTTTCCGTTTACCGGGCACAGGTTCGCCCAAATAAACAGTTAAATCCCAACACGAAGTCTCCTGTCTTCGGCCACGTCACGACCCCGTGACATCTGGTGGACGTGCTGCTTCGTTCATGTACCGGATGCCCCCGTCAAGCCGTGAACCCAGCCCACGTCGCGGAGAAGACACCGACGCCAACCAAGAGCAGCGAACAAGCCGCCGACAGCAAGGGCTACCACCAGAGTACGGGCTTCTACAAGACAAGGCGCGGAAGACCAATCCCATGACCGCGACTGCAGAGACAATGACCACCGCAGCGTCCCAGCCCACGATGGTCATGCATCAACCCAGGGAACCACCAATTTTCCATGGGTCATCGTTCGAAGACCCGGAGTCCTGGCTAGAAATATACGACCACGTGGCCGCCCTCAACCACTGGGACCATGACGAAAAGCTGCGTCGTGTGTTCTTCTATTTGGAACACACCGCAAGGACCTGGCTCGAAAATCGAGAGTCCACGCTCCGAACGTGGGATGTTTTCTGCGGCGCATTCCTGCAAACGTTCGCGAGCGTCGCTCGCAAAGAGAGGGCCGCTGCTCTACTAGAGGCCCGGGTTCAGCTACCAAATGAGAAGGTTGTAATTTTCACAGAGGAGATGACCCGCCTATTTCGTCACGCTGACCCAGACATGCCTGAGGAGAAGAAAGTTCATTTCCTCATGCGAGGGGTCAAACAGGAGCTCTTCGCGGGACTAATGAGGAATCCACCGAACACCGTCAAAGAATTTGTATCCGAGGCGACCACTATCGAAAAAACGCTGGACATGCGCACCAGACAGTATAATCGTCGCCTGACTCCAGAATGCGCTGCTTCTCAAGCCAGTGACTCCGACGACCTGCGTGAAACGATCCGAGCGATCGTGCGGGAAGAGCTGCGCAAACTGTTGCCTTCGGCGCAGCCTCAAGTGGATTCGATCGCCGACATTGTGCGAAAAGAAGTTCGGCAATCACTTCGAATTCCCCAAACACCGCTGCCCGAGCCAGAAACTATGAGCTACGCCGCTGCAGTGCGCCACAACGCTCCTCCCCGTCCACGCCAAAACGCCGCCCCGTCGCACTTCCGTCGCCAAACACCACCGCCGCCACCACCCCCACCGACGACCTACCGTTCACCAACGGGCCAGCGCAGTGCGCCGAGGAAAACCGACGTTTGGCGCACCCCTGACCACCGCCCACTCTGCTACCACTGCGGCGAGGCCGGGCACACTTACCGCCGTTGTCAGTACCGACAGATGGGACTGCGTGGCTTCGCCGTCGATGCACCACGTCCGCAGCCAGGGGAACGGCCACGTGACATCGCCGACTACCTGACAGGAACTCAATGGACACCCCGAAGTCCTTCCCGTTCGCCGTCGCTTAGCCGCCGCATGTCACCGCACCCCCGGCAGTACTCCGACCCAACGAGGGGCCGGTCTCCTAGCCCGTATCCGGGAAACTAAGGGCAGCAACCGGTGGAGGTGCGGTTGCTGTGCGACGAACTACCGAAGATCCTCCGACGACGCCGCGACGGAGCTTTCCGAACTCAATGCCAACCAGGCAAAGCCCTGACGGCGAAAGCTCACTTACCGAAGGTGGCCTGACGACGCAACATGGAAGCAGCGGAACAAGCCGACGCAGCCGTGACCCGACGCCACGCCCTAACTGTAATGCGAGACGGCGAACTAGCGAATGAGGGTGGCGATTTGGGCTTGTTGGTATGGTTGCATGATGATGGATGGTAGCGCAGACAACGAACACGGACAAGAGAAGGCACATAGACACAACACAGCGCTAACTTTCAAAGTTAGCGCTGTGTTGTGTCTATGTGCCTTCTCTTGTCCGTGTTCGTTGTCTGCGCTACCATCCATCATCAGGCGAACTAGCGACCTCGACGTTCTTATCGACGGCCACAGTGTGACCGCTCTCGTCGATACTGGAGCCGACTATTCTGTC